CTGCATCTAGTTATCAAGTGTGGGAGTGTTGTTCACTGTTGCTGTGTATGATTACCAACTCCCTGCTGAGTTGGTCTGTTCGGTCATCACGCATCTGTCTACAGACAACAGCAACCTATCTGTATCCAGTATGGACAAAAATATGGAAACACCCAACAAAAAACATATTACCATGACTAATATGGTGTAAGACAACCTCTGGCTTGCAGAAGTGCTTGAAGTCTCCTTGGAATGGATAAATGAAGATCCTGTATGATTTGCAAGGGAATCTTGTACCATTCTTCCAGCAAAACATTGGCAAGTACTATTAACAATGATGGAGGTGGATAGTGTGCACGCAGATTGCTCTCCAAAACAGACCACAAAGGCTCAATAATATTGATATCTGGTGATTGTGGGGGCCATGGCAGACGTGAAACTCAGGTTCGTGCTCAGAAAACCAGTCCTGGATGATGTGAGCTATGTGAACACAGGCATTGTTGGCTTGGTAAATGGCATCACCATTAGGGAACAAAGTTTGCACCATGGGATGGACCTGGTTGCCCCAAATGGTCAGATGGTCATTGGCAGTGATTGAATTGAATTGAATTGAATTTATTTACATTCTATAAATCCTAAGTAGGTTAGTACCTTTGGATACAGAACAAGTCAAAAGGTTACATACATAAGTACAGGCAATTTTAGCTTAAAAATTAATATAACTTAATTTTACATCATTCTCTATTTACATTGAAGTATTCATCTAAAGAGTAGAAGGAATGAGCATGTAGATAATTCTTTAACTCTGATTTAAACTTTTCAGTATCATTGCCCAAGTTTTTAATACTTTGTGGCAGATTGTTGAACACTTTTATGCCAGTAAAGTAGACTCCTTTTTGATATACTGATAAAGTTGATGAGGGTAGGTGGAAGTTATATTTTTGTCTAGTATTCATGTTATAGACATCAGAATTTAATTTGAATTTATCTTTGTTGTAAACAACAAATAAGAGAAGCGATAATATGTATTGCGATTGAAGAGGTAGAATTTTTAATTTCTTAAATAATTCTCTACATGAATCTCTACTTCTACATCCTGTAATGATTCTAATTATATTCTTTTGTATTTTAAAAATTATTACACTATGTGAAGAGTTCCCCCAAAATATTAATCCATAGTTCATAATAGAATGAAAGTAGGCATGGTAAACCATCTTCAATGTTTCCTGTGACATAAAAGGCTTAATTGATCTCATCGCATAGCAAGCTGCATTTAATTTAGGTATAATTTGTTCAATATGTATTTTCCAAGACAGTGTACTGTCTACATGTATTCCAAGGAATTTTGTATCAAGTACTTTACAGATTAATTTGTTGGCATAACTGATGTCCAGATCAATTTGGTGGTTGTTTTTAGTTGTGAATGATATGTAATGGGTTTTATCAAAATTTAATGAGAGTAAATTGGCTTCGAACCATCTGTTTAAGGCTTCAAATACAATATTTATGTCATTTTTAAAGTTTTCAAATTTAGAGTTCTTAAATATTATACTAGTGTCATCTGCATATAGAATTGGTTTAGATTTATTGTTGATGGTTTTAGATAGATCATTTATGTAGAGAAGAAAAAGTAAGGGACCTAAAATTGATCCTTGTGGAACACCGTGCTTTATAATTCCCCAGTTTGAAAATGCATTATGACTGGAGTTTTTATTATTTATTTCAACTCTTTGATACCTGTTTTTGAGGTATGATTTGATCCATTCATTAGCTTTGCCAGTTATTCCATAGAAATTTAATTTCGATAGTAAGATATCATGATTAACACAATCGAAAGCTTTTGCTAGATCACAGAAAATCCCTCCCACAATTAATCTGTCATTGAGAGCACTTAAAATATCGTTAGTTAGTTCATAGGTTGCTTTTTCTGTTGTTAGGTCTTTCCTAAATCCAAATTGCTCTTTGACTAATATGTTGTTAGAATTTAAGTGTTCAAGTAGTCTATTATACATAACTTTTTCAAAGACTTTTGAGAATGAAGTCAATATGGATATTGGTCTGTAATTAGAGATGCATTTTCTCTCTCCTTTTTTAAAAAGTGGTTTCATTACAGCGTATTTTAAGCGTTGAGGAAAAGTACCTGATGATAAAGATTTATTACATAGATGATTCAAGGGTGAACTGATGTAAACAGAGCTTGCTTTAAGTAATTTGGTAGAGATTTCATCATATCCATGTGAATTTTTGGGCTTAAGGGATTTAATAATGTTTTCAATTTCCTTCCTTGTTGAGAATTTGAGATTGATATTTGGAAATGAATTGTTAAAGGCACGAGACAGATAGTATATTGGATTATTATTATTATTATTATTATTATTATTATTATTATTGGAATATGTTTTCTCAGCTAATGAAAGGAAATATTCATTAAATGCACTTGCGATAGCTTGTGGATTGTTAGTGGACTTCCCTTCAATATTCAAACTTTGTACGTCTTCATTAACAGATTTCTTTCCTGATTCAACTTTCACAATATCCCAGGTGGTTTTAATTTTATTGTTTGATTTTAGAATTTGGCTGTTATAGTTATTCTGTTTGGCTTCTTTAATGACTTTTGACAAAATTTTACAGTACATTTTGTAGTGACTTTTTAGTCTTGGATCATTACTGTCCCTACTGGCCAAATATAGTTGTCTTTTGTGTTTACATGAAGTTTTTATTCCAATTGTTATCCAGGTGGATTTGTTTTTATTTTCATTTTTGACTATTTTTAAGGGAAAGCTTGAATAAAAGATCCTCAAGTATGTGTTCAGAAAGCAATTAAATTTAGAATCAATATTATTGCTGTCAAATACATTGTCCCATGATTCATTACTTAATTTTGTGACAAAATCTGCCATCGTATGCTTGTTGATTTTCCTTACTGTTTGATATTGTTGATTACTGGGCTGAAGGTCAATATTATTTATTTCTATGAGTTGAGCATCATGATCGGATAAGCCATTTATAAAGGGTCCTACAGTATAGTCTCTTAATTTTGAGTTATCAATGAATATATTATCTATCGCTGAACTAGAATTATTTTGAACTCTTGTGGGAAAGTTAACAGTACTGGAGAGATTGTAAGATGATAACAAAGAGTCTAAATTTAGTTTCCTATTACTGTCGATGAGATAGTTTATATTTATATCACCACAAATTATAAATTCAACTTTTGAACTATGCAGTACATTTAGGATGGTTTCTAATCTATTTATAAAGTGATTGAAGTTTCCAGATGGGGCTCTATATAAAGTCAGTATACAAATATTAGAAAAAGGAGAGTCTAACTTTAGAGCACATGCTTCCAGATCCTGGTCTTTGCAATAATCTTCTAAATTTATTTTAGCAAAATTTAGGTTTTCATGTACAAAAATACTCACTCCTCCTTTCGCCAGTGTTTTCCTACAGTATCTAGCACCTAAATTATAATTTTCTAAGTGAAGATGTTCTAATTCCAGCTGTTTCATGTGATGTTCAGTAAGGCACAGTATGTGTGGAAGACCTGAATTCATGGAGCTTATTAGTTCATTTGTTTTCTTTCTCAATCCTCTTATATTCTGATGGAATATTCTTAGTACTTTATTATTCATTGAATTTAGTAGACTGCAATTACCTTTTCCGATTTCTATTGGTTCGCTTACATTATTGTCTGAAAGATTAGTTTATTTTGCAATTTCTTTTACTTGATAAACTTTACTTGACCTTGCAGCGTATTGTAGAGGTTGTACAGGTAGTGGTATTGGGCAGATATGACAGTGTCACTTACAGACGTCGCTAAAATAAACACTTCAATTCAGGCATGCATTTCACAAGGTGTAAGGCATGTATATGTGTGTGTGTGTGTGAGTTGGCATATACATTCATCCGTGCATGCACATTTTTTTAATTGGACGACACTGTCAGTAGCTCACACCAGTGGGACGATTTATGAATAATGATATGCAAGGAATATAAAAGGAGTCAGTCCTGGGCTAGTCTGAGGTACTATCCTGCTCTTTGCCTGGAGGGACTAGATAAAATCATCAGGAAACTCACCCAGGACAGCCTGTATCTAGACAAAGACTTTGATTCTCTGCAATGTTTCAGAGGGATATAAAGGAGATCTACATAGGTCATACTGAAAGTCATGAGCAAAAATTTTTTGTAAAGTAACATACTTTATTATTGACAAACCAAATACACCACCTCAATCTACAGACCTTTCTTTATTTTACCACATAATCGCCACTTCTTTGTACACATTTCTCCCAGCGTTCTGGGAGTTTGAAAATTCCCCTTCTGTAAAATTCTGTTCCAGCCATCCGAAGACACTGACGCACTGCTTTCTGAATTCAGCGTGCTCATGAAAGTGTGTGCATGGGTGCGAGCAGTGTTCAAAAATGGGTGAAACATTTTAAAGATGGGAACACCAGCATCGAAGATGATCCTCAGAGCGGTCGTCCTCGAACAGCCTCAACTGAACACAACAAGGAAAGAGTGGATGAGATCATTCAAGATGACAGGCATGTGACTGTAGACCCAATAGCCTGAAAACTTGGAAAAGGGCACAGTGCAGTACAGGAGATGATTGAAAGCTTGGGATATAGGAAAATTTGTGCTCGTTGGGTCCCGCAGTTATTGACCAAAGACCACAAAGGTCACATTGGAAGCAATTGCAAAGATGGGATGGGAAGTTCTTCCACACCCCTCGTATAGCCCTAATCTGGCACCCTCCGACTACCATCTTTTCGGATTTGTGAAGGATCAACTGTGTGGACAACATTTTGAGACAAGGGAGGCAATTCAGAAAGCAGTGCGTCAGTGTCTTCGGATGGCTGGAATGGAATTTTACAGAAGGGGAATTTTCAAACTCCCAGAACGCTGGGAGAAATGTGTACAAAGAAGTGGCGATTATGTGGAAAAATAAAGAAAGGTCTGTAGATTGAGGTGGTGTATTTGGTTTGTCAATAATAAAGCATGTTACTTTACAAAAAATTGTTGCTCATGACTTTCAGTACGACCCTCATACATGCATGCATGTGTATGTTAGTCACTTAACATACAGTGAATATCGTTGTGAGTCCTGCAGGACCAAGAATGACCATGCTTGCAAGGACCAGCAGCAATTTACCTGTCATGAGTGTGTGCGCGCCCGCGTGCAGTGATGTTCTTATGACACTCTTAGTACTGTGTACCCTGCAGTGTCAAATGACAGATGATGAATTTGGAAGGAAGCAGTGCTTTCCTAATTGATGTATTATCCTGGCATTTTTGCAGAGGGAAACCACAAAAAACTTAATTTATGAGGGAGAGTCAGTAAATCAGCCACAAATGGAAGTAAAGCAGTTGTAGTGGACATAACAGGTTCCCTATGTGTATCACTAGATAGAAACACAGCTCTGCTTTATGACAGTCTATGTAGTACTCTTAGAGTTAAGAGATACATTCAAAAATCGTGGGGTGACCACTGTTATAGAATAAGATGTTTATAAGACTGTTTTACAGGGGACTGGATGGGCACTGCCTAGGCGTCTATTGTATGTACATTAATTTTATCAAAATAAAAAAGTCTAGGCAGCAGGCATGCATGCAGATGTTCTAAGGCTGGTTTCATTAGTTAAAATGGCAACTATGCTTGAGGTGTATGGTACTGAAGAGCAGAGTTAGTGTTTATCGCGTAAAGCTTTTCACAACTGGAATTGAAACATTCCAGTTCACTTTCAACAAAAAATTTAAGGTTATGCCATCAACTGGGAAGGTGATGCCTGCCTACTGTCCATTTGCATCAGTGGGTATCCATTACCACCACATTTCATGGAAACTGCATTCAACAAGGACAGGGAATAGTCTTGCCGAGATGCGTAACTACCAGCTTCTACAGAACTTTCTTAAATGAACATAAGATACACAATTCATGATTTTATTATTTATGAAGACGAGGAATGTACATTGTATTTGGGGAAGTACAGTGTGTGAAATCAAAACCAGAACTGATGTAAGGACATTCACAATCAGGCCTTAGTTCTCACTGTTTGATGCACCAAGTCTGTCACCATCTGCAAGAGCTGCACATCTCAAACGTTCCTTCCAAGCAGAAGCCTAATCTTTGATTCATTTTTGGGCATAGTCAATAATCTTGTGTCCTGGGAGATTACTCAGATCCATTTCTGTTAACATAATTTGATGACATCCTGAAGGTTCAGCATTAACACATTCCTTGATTCACAGATGTCTTGTTTCATACTCAAGTATTCAGACACAGCTTCTGTAAACACACAAAACTGAAGTCACATTTCCTCCAGGTAAACCTAACTCAACAGAGATAACATTGTAACTACAGACTTCCATCATACAAGTGTCTCAGTTCAGTTCAAGGGCAGCCATGTCCGTCAAACGGAAACGTTAATACTAGCGGGGCTGAATGTCTGCTGAATTGAAACCTCCATTATGGTGGGTGGGAGGAGGGAAACAAATTAGAAGTATGTAAGATTTGAGGTTTTCACGGCAGTGACTATGGAGAAAGCAGTCTTCTGGGATTTGGCACCGTGTATATGTGGTGTTAACCAACGTTTCGGAGGANAGCCTTAATATAAATAAGCCCTTTAAGATTACTTTCCAAACTGAGCGATCCCAACCAATTATCTCACTGTAGGTTGACATGAAAAGAAAGACAAATACCCATAAAATCAGAAGAAGATTAACTATATCAGGAAGGATCAGAGACAGAAGGAATATCTTTCACAACAAAGACTTGAATCGGTTCTGATGGTTTCTCCATTTGGCCCATATCACTTCACTGTAAGAGGCTTTCTAGCAATAAGAAATTCCTGTGCAGACTGGCTGTCAGGACTGCCACTGACAGATGTGTACTGCAAAAGGGGTTCACTGACTGTTGGTAGTACATTGTCTATCAGGCCAATTTCCTGAAAATGTGGGACAGTTAAATATTTGGGAAGGACAGTAAAAAATCAAAATATGATTCAGGATGAAATTAAGAGGCATTTCAATTTGTGTAATGCCTGCTACCATTCAATTTGTAACCTTTCGTCTTTGCAACTGATGTCTAAAAACGTAAAAATTACAATATACAAAACCATAATTTTGCCTGTTAGTCTGTATGGGTTGAAACTTGGTCTATGATATTAAGAGAGGAACATAGACTAATGGTCCTCAAGAACAGGGTGCTGAGGAGAATATTTGGATGACAGAAAATGAAGTGAGGTGACAGGAGGCTGGAAAAAACTGCACAATAAGGGGCTTCATAAAGTGCACACTCTGCGAAGTATAATTAGAATGATCACGTCAAGGAAGATGAGATGGGCAGGGCATGCAGCACGAATTGGGAGAAGAGGACCGCACATAGGATACTGTTTAGAAATCTGGATGGAAAGAGACCTCTAGGAACACCGTGGCTAGATAATATTAAAATGGATCTTAAAAGACATAGGATGGGGTGGTATGGACTAGATTGTACTGTTTCAGGATAGGGACGAAAGGAGGGCTCCTGTGAACTATTTAGGTTAATAGTATTATGTAAAATAAGTTTTTTGAAGTGTGCATAGTATATACAATATGTATAGGTTGCCAGATAAAAGGCTAAAAGGAATGAGACCAAAGAAGTTTGTTGGCTAAAAATTTAGTAGCCAAGAGACTGAAAAAACAACAAAAGGAAACGTCTTCTGAAGTATGTGAAATAAATGAATGTGCTTTGATAGAGAATTTCTCTTCAGCATCGTCTTCCCAGGCATGTGCATCCCAGACAAAGCTATCTTTTTTCTCTGACCAAAGAATTTATACTACCCTAGACAGTGAGTATCTGAATGATATGCCTAATTCTGATTATGTAATAGTCCATTCCAGCTTTTGGCAGCAAATAGGTAAAGGAGTGGGGGAAGTGATTTGAAAATAGAATTTTCACAATTCATAGGCTTTGCAGCTAAAGTAGCTGTAAAATGTACAGCTTGCTACAATACCTGCAGTGAAAATTATCCCAGCCCAAGGGTTGAATGCACCGAATCAAGTCGACCTCCGTTTGAAGTGAATCGCAAAATGTTAAACGCTTTTTTATCATTAGGTAAGGGTCATGCTGGGATGGAAAAATTCTGCATGGGTATGGGCATGACACTAGTCAGCTCTTCCTCGTACATGCCCATTTGCTGCAGACAGCAAAAGAAAATACAGGAATTCATCACAGTGTGTAGCAGGAAGCTCACACTGTTTTTCACCAGTCTTATGTAGCCACCGATCCAAGCCTGAGTGAAGATGACATTACTGAATGTCGAAGTGGTAAAGAAACTGATTCCATTATACACCACATTAGCTAATGATGCATTACATAGTCTTATTTGGACTGATTGTCCAAAAGACACATTTATTTCTAAAAAAATTAGACATTGGGGTCACTAATGCAGTGAGTGAGTTCAATATGGGCTGCATAGCAAGCCAGGAACTGAAAGAGGAAGCAACAAAATTGAAGTTCAGCCCAGCAGCTGAGAAAATAGGCAGAGCAAGGGATGACCGTCGCCTCGAGCGGAGCGCACATTGTGGTCAACCAGGCTCAAAATCTGCCAGAAAGAAGCTGAGGTTGTCCAAAGTAGCCGCAGAGGACAAGAAGAAGCTGAAAGAGGGTCCCACATATGGATCTGGTCAATTTTAATTGGATCTCACGTCAGAAAACAAAGATATTCTTTAACAAAATTTTAAAATTGATTTTCTCGATGTAAGTTGTTTGAACGTTTTCATAACTTCAAAAGGTTCCACATGATGCAGTTTTTTTCACCAACCTATATAAAATTTTACACACACACTTCCTATTTGCTTATGAACAAAATGACCATATTTCTTTTCTTTTGTTGCACTTCATTGATCTGAAAAATAGAATTAAAAACAAAAAAAATTAATTCTGACTATTATAGAAGTTAATATTTTTTCTCAGTAGTTAAGAAAGCAATAAAAATGATATGATAGAAGTTTTAATTTGTTTAGAATAAGCACAAAAATCCATATTTCATGGGTCAATTTTTAAAATTGCATCAGGGGGGGCATATTATTTTGCACATTAATATAACATATTAAAAATTAATATTTTGGAAACTATTCAAGCTAAAAATCTGAAAATTGGTACTGTATGTCATATTTGCATGCTAAACAACTGGTATAAATTTCAAACAAATCCAGTGAAAACTATATTTTTCAGTTTTCTCAGATGCACTAATTTAAAGGATGCAGTTACTTTCATTTGTATTCAGGGAAGAAAGTAATATACAAGGTCCGTATAAAAAGTATCGGGAAAATCTTTCCCTTACGTTACTGTACACCGCAGCACGCTCGCACCGCGCAGGCGTGGTAGTGGGGGTCTAACCTTTAACACGCGCCATTCGCCTGAGCGCGTTCGTAGAGGCCAGGCCGTGTTTTCAGTGGACCCCTGTCGAGTGAGTCGGTGCAAGCGCAGAATGCAGCGAACGATTGAACAGAGGTACGCCATCAAGTTTTGTGTTGGACTGGGGAAATCGGGTACGGAGACGTTGGGCATGATTCGCCAAGTGTTCAAGGATGAAAGCATGTCACAAACTGCAGTTTTTAAGTGGCACAAGCTCTTCAGAAGTGGCCGACAGAGTGTGGAGGATGAGCCCCGCGGTGGACGGCCGTCAACGTCAAGAACCGATGACAATGTGCAACGTGTGCGTGATGTACTCAGTTCAGACCGTTGGTTAAGTGTGCGCATGATTGCAGATCGTGTTGGCATTGATAAGATGACGGTGCACACCATTATCACGGAAGATTTGGCGATGTGAAAGGTCTGCGCGAAACTCATCCCAAAGGTCTTGACGGACGACCAAAAGCAGAGACGAGTGGCTGCTTGCAAAGACCTTCTGCAATGCGTTGAGGAAGACCCCAACCCCCCTACAGTCCCGACTTGGCACCAGCAGACTTTTTCCTGTTCCCGAAAGTGAAATCCTCCCTCGAAGGGCACCATCATGGGACCCTGAGTGCTGTCAAAGAGGCTTGCACGCGGACCCTTAAGGATCTTCCAGAATCCGCCTACCAGGGAGCCTTTGTGTCGTGGCAACGCCGTTGGCAAAAGTATATCGATGCACAAGGGATGTATTTTGAAGAATTTTGAGGCATTGTAGCAATATCTGAAATAAATCTATTTTCCTGGAACTCTTCCCGATACTTTTTATATGGACCTTGTATGATAACAACTCGAAACATAAGTAATTACTTAAAACAAAGAGTATTACACAACACACCATACTCTAATTACGTACTCTTAAGTTTGCTATGAAGCACAACATTCTAAGTTTCCATGGTAGGCTGAATCACAGTGACTTACCTGATTGTTTTCAGCATCTGTGTAAGAACTCAGTTCTAACCATCAGTGACTCTGTCTCATCCGCTACTACAGACAGGACCTTGTTCACCTCATCAGCGATTTCAAAGGACAGATTTAATTCTCATTGCCTCTGACTTCATCTTCATTTCCTGGATCGATAACACTTAAGACTCTTTCTCTTTATTCCAAAGATGTTCATTCTAACCTCCAGGCCTGCTATCTTATCTTTCTGCCTCTGAAGAACAACACATTCTTCTCTTAATGGCAGTAAAATTGTCTTTTGAAGTAAAAACATGCTCTTATAAACTTCATCAAAATCAATGTTGAAATCCTCTCGCTCTGAATTTAAAGTATTTCTTTTTGGGGGATATAGTATCAAGAGAGCGTTTGGAAATGTTACAGTTATTCTTACATAATTTTCAACGTAGCCTCCAATCTTACTCAATTTTGTTCCTCTGAAGAGCATCGCGCTCTGCTCTAATAACATTCAATTTTTTTTCAGGGTATTACATTCACTTCTAAGATCGTCAAAACCAGCTTTCAATTCATTGTGCTCAGATCTCAGATTATCTCTTTCCTGGGCCAACAGCAAGTAAGCTTCCTGAATACTGGACTCCTCATCCATCATCTTCTTCAATCTACACTCCAGGTCTACTAACTTAAGTTTATCCCTCTGAAGAACATCACACTTTTCTCTCATGACGTGTAAATTTTCCGTCACCGCATTGCATTTCCTTTTAAGTGCATTAAAATTAATTTTCAGCTTTTTGTGCTCTGATCCTAAAGCATATTTTTCCAGGGCTGATAGCAAGTACGCTTTCTGAACACGGGACTTTTCATTTACCATCATTTCAAATCTTCGCTCCAGGCCTGCAAACTTATCTTTGTCTCTCTGAAGATCATCACACTTTCCTTTCATGGCATTATGTTTATCCATCAAGGCTGTGCATCTCCTAATAAGTTCATCACGATTAACTCTCAATTCTTGTTCCTCTGGTTTAAAACTGTCTCCTTCCTGTCTGAATAGCAAGTAGGCTTTCTCAGTCCTGGACTCTTCGTCCAACATCATTTTCAGTGTACCCTCCAGGCATACAAACTTATCTTTGTCACTCTGAAGAGCATCTTGCTCTCCTTTGATGGCATTTAAACTATCCATCGAGTCACAACATTTCCCTTGAAGTTCATTGAAATAAACTTTGAATTCATCATGCTCTGATTTCAAAGTCTCTCTTTCCTGGTTCAATAGCAAGTAAGCTTTCTCACTTCTGGGTCCTCCTTCCAATATCATTTTCAGTCTTCTCACCAGGCCTACTAACTTATCTATGTCCCTCTGAAGAGTATCACGCTCTTCTCTAACAGCATTAAAATCATCTTGGAGAGCACTATATTCTCCCTTAAGTTCATAAAAATGAACTCTCAATTCCTCTCGCTCTGCCTCCACTCCTACCAACTTATCTTTGTCTCTCTGAAGTTTATCACACTCTTCTCTAACAGCATTCAGATTTTCTTGGAGAGCACTATATTTTCCCCTAAGTTCATAAAAATTAACTTTCAGTTGCTCTTGCTCTGCCACCATGCCTACCAAGTTGTCATTTTCTCTCTGGAGATCATTACACTTTCCTTTCAAGACATTTAAATTATTTATCAATACATTGCATTTCCTTTTAAGTTCATAAAAATTAACTTTCAGTTCTTCTTGCTCCAATTTCAAAGTATCTCTTTCCTCAGTCAATAGCAAGTAAGCTTTCTCAGTCCTGGACCCTTCATCCAACATCATTTTCAATTTAGCACCCAGGCATACAAACTTATCTTTCTCCCTCTGAAGAGCATCACACTTTCCTTTGATGACATTTAAATTACCTGCCAGGTCACTGCATTTCCTTATAAGTTCATCAGAGTAAATTTTCAATTCATCTTGCTCTGATCTCAAAGTATGTCTTTTCTGGGTCAGTACGAAGTAAGCTTTCTGAATACTGGACAGTTCATTTAATACCATTTTTAGTCTACCTGCTATGACTACTAACTTATTTTTGTCCCTCAGAAGAATAGCACCCTCTTCTCTAACAGCATTATAATTTTCTTGGAGAGCACTATATTCTCTCTTAAGTTCGTGAAAATTAACTTGCAATTCCTCTCTCTCTGCCTCCACTCCTACCAACTTAGCTTTATCTCTCTGAAGAGTATCACGCTCTTCTCTAACAGCATTAAAATTTTCATGCAAAGCACTACATTCTCTCTTAAGTTCGTGAAAATTGACTTTCAATTCCTCTCGCTCTGCCTCCACTCCTACCAACTTATCTTTGTCTCTCTGAAGAGTATCACGCTCTTCTCTAACAGCATTAAAATTTTCATGGAGAGCACTATATTCTATCTTAAGTTCGTTAAAATTAACTTCAAGTTCCTCTCGCTCTGCCTCCACTCCTACCAACTTATCTTTGTCTCTCTGAAGAGTATCACGCTCTTCTCTAACAGCATTAAAATTTTCTTGGAGAGCACTATATTCTGTCTTAAGTTTATAAAAATTAACTTTCAGTTCCTCTCGCTCTGTCTCCACTCCTACCAACTTATCTCTTTCCGTCTGAAGAGCATCACACTTTCCTTTCATGGCATTTAAATTATCTGTTAGGGCACTGCATTTCCTTTTAACTTCATCAAAATTAACATTCAATTCTTCTTGCTCTAATTTCAAAGTGTCTCTTTCTTGGGTTAACAGTAAGTATGCTTTCTGAACATGGGACTCTTCATTCAACACCATTTTCAATTTATCCTCCATGCTTATTAACTTATCTCTGTCCCTCTTAAGAGCATCACACTTCCCATTGATGACACTTAAATTATCTGTCATGGAATTGCATTTCCTTTGTAGTTCATCAAAATTAACTTTCAGTTCTTCTTGATCTGATTTCAAAATGTCTCCTTCCTGAGCCAATAGCATGTAAGCTTTCTGAGTACTGGACTCTTGAACCAACATCTTTTTCAGTGTATCCTGCAGGTCTAACTTATCTTTGTTGCTCTGAAGAACATCACACTTTCCTTTGGTGACATTTAAATTATCTGTCAGCAAACTGCATTTCCATTGTAGTTCATCAAAATTAACCGTCAATTCTTTGTGCTCTGAGCTCAGAGTATCTCTCTCTTTGGTCAATAGCAAATAAGCTTTCTGAATGCTGAAGTCCTCATCCAACAACAATTCCAGTGTACCCTCCAGGCCTACCAATTTATCCTTGTCACTCTGAAGAGTACCACACTCTTCTCTAACTGCATTCATATTTTCTTGGAGGGCATTATATTCTCTTCTAAGTTCATCAGAATTAAGTTTCAATTCCTCTTTCTCTGCCTCCAGGCCCACTATCTTATCTTGGTCACTCTGAATAGCATCACACTTTCCACTGATGGCATTTAAATTATCTGCCAGTGCAATGCTTTTCATTTTAAGTTCATCAAAATTGACTTTCAGTTCTTTGTGATCTGATCTCAAAGTATCTCTTTCCTGGGCCAATAGGTAGTAAGCTTTCTGAATACTGGACTCTTCATCCAACATCATTTTCAACCTATCCTCCAGGTCTAGTAACTTATCTTTGTGCCTCTGAACGGTATTCAAATTTTCTTGGAGGGCACTCTGTTCTCTTTGAAGTTCATAAGAATTAACTTTCAATTCCTTATTCTCTGACCTCAAACCATCACTTTCCAGAGGTACTAAAAGCTTCTCCTTTTGAAGCCCATTACAACACTTCACCATGGCCCATTGCTCATCTTCTGTGCCAGGCTGCAGCGTATCCTTCCCCATTGCTATGTCTGTGGTACCATCAAATCCTTCTTCTTTCCCCCTTCTCTGTTGATCCTGTAACAAATTTCATAGTGTACATTAGAAATTTGCAACAGTCAGTTTTAAAGCTATTAAATAACACTGAAACAGAACTATGGCAGTTCCTTCTTATGTTTTAACCAGTGCATCAGTCATTAATTACTACTTTGCACCACAGCAAGCAAAAAAATAAATTAGTTTAGTGAACATTTACAGGTGTAGTTAAAGACTGTCCTTAGGTCTGATGGCTCCAGCTACCTGTGCTTTGAATCAGAGAAGTTTACACTGAGGTATTTCCATATGGGACAGCAGTCACAGAACATTTCAAGTACTGCTTCACAGTTTCCAGTTAGATATCCAGCTGTCTGTTTGCAGAGTGTATTGTGTCTGTACATGGTCATCCTGTGAAAATGAGTTCCTCTTTCTGAGTCTCACCTATACAGTTTCGAGAAACAAACTTGTAGGATACCACAGTGATAAAAAAATGACATGTCATCAATAAGGGTGTGTGATTTATGTGACATCGTTCACTTCCTAAACAAAACAGGCTGGGAATAAAGGTAGCACCAACAGTTCTGCCTTCTGGAATAAAACACCATGTAGTCCATTACAAGTGAATTGACATTTTGGAGGAAAATGTTACCTCCATCTTCGCAGTCGAAGAATAAACTAAGCAAGAAACCAGCGTGAAGCAAGTAGCACACACAACAGGGACCAAACCACCATTCCATGCTTCCTACATTCCAGCATCACAGACTATCTGATGTTAGCTATAACTTTTCGCAATCACTGCTGTGAGAATCTCAGCTCCTACAAAGGTAGCATCATATGATTTATATTTAAACAAAGGGTAAGCATGCTGAAAGAGTGAAATGTGAGATCACATTTTGACAATAAACGTAAATCACTCAAATTTCATCCAATAGTATGACGACAAATTCAGAAAACAAAACACAGCTTCTCTGGTTCAACAACTGGAAGACTGATACATATATATATATAATGTATATAAAAAGGAGCTGAGCCTTCAGAAGAAGCCACTTAAGTAAGCTTTGACATGTCCCACTTACAAATTGAGTCACTGAGGCATTGTACTCAAGACAGATTTCTGAATAAACCACTTACTTGTGGCATCACAAAACCCATGTTTCAGAAACTACAGGAAAAGTGTTTAGCCTTTATTCTGAACCAAATGGCAGTGCAAAAAAAAACGTTAAATCTCTACTTTCTGAGAGATGGAGGGGGTGCTGGGAATTCTGCTCTCAAGGGACTGAGAGCTGAGCTGATGCTTGGCCATGTAGGAGCTCTGCTGTCCCTGGTGTACACAACAGAAGGCAGTTGAAGGGTCCCAATTATTGATACTCCAGGGAGGCTGTCTCTTCCTGACTGAAAGGTTCACATGCTCTTCTGTTTGAAGGTGGGAGCCAGACCCTCTCACGGGCTCCCTGTCTAATACAACAATTAGAACTTCACCTCTCATCAAACCTCCATTTTGGATTAGGATACAATGGAACTGATGATAAGAATAAGAAATATACTACTGAGGGTGAACTGTGGGTAAAATTGTAAGAGGTCTCCATGTAAAAATGCCTAATCTGACAACCAAGAGGAAGAATGGGACATTCTAGTGAAGAAGCAAGTCAGGTAGAGGAATGCTATCTTCAAGGTATCTGAGGCCACAGTTGGAGCCCATTCGCATGTCCAGCTGGGATCAGCAGTGGAGGCCTCTAATTTCCTGTCAATAAATGATGGTGGGTTGCTGTAGACATCCAACCATCAGTAATCAGAGAAAAGTAGATTCTCCTCCTGCATTGGAGGACAGTCTTTGGGCCCTCTGCTGCTCAGAAGCAGCAGCTATCACCTCTCAGGGGCTCTGGTGAGAGCCAGGTGAGAGTAAGATTGAAAAAGGTGTCATGATGAGGGTGAGCAGTCTGACCATCAATAAGTGTTGGGGGGATCAGCTATCCATCAGTGAATGACAGTGGCTGACTGGCATATCCTGACTTCCAAGAGAAGAGGATATTATGTTGGTGAGTTGGTTGGGCATGGATTAGACATCTCTAACTCTGCATGGGTACGGCTACAGAGAGCGAAGTTTAGAAACACTGAATAACAATCAATCTAGGGCTGTGCCATGGCTCTGGCGGTTAGTGGCTGGCTTCCCACTGCGGCAGTATGGGTTTGAGCCCAGGTCAGGTCATGTGGGATTTGTGGTGGACAAAGTGGCACTGGGGCACCTTTTCTCTGAGTACTTCCATTTGCCCTTTATTTCACTACTTGCTCCACAGTCACCTTCATCTATTATCTGGGCCTGGTACAATAGGCCAATAGTGGCCACAGTACCAAGTGGATTCAGTCTCACCCCAATAAGAATAACAGTAAAAAAATTACAGTCAATCTACTTGATTAAAATCAGATATTTCATATCACTGTCATGCCATTCAGTGTGTGTATGGTTTTCATGGACAGCAGATTGTTATTTAGTGGTTCTCGAGAAGGATTCTGCTCTATGTAATTACTTAGTTCTACCTGACACACTTCTCAAATAACTGCACGAAAAACACTTATTTATGGTGTGATTACATATTCATGTATTCAGTAATATCTCTAAAACTGTTCGATTCCAGTTTCCTCCAGAATTCACAAAGGTCACTTGATCTCCTAACGAATGCTATCAAATGTTCTCTGTACAGTTACAGCTCACACATAGACACAATCACATTGGCAAAGATACTCAAAGATATGAGGATCCTATCCAAAAGATAATGCCCAAGGAATGAAACATCTATTTCACACTTCTACTAAAACAAGAAATTAAGTTCTACTTTTGTGATGTTTATTTGCCACAGTCAGTAAATATGCAACCAGTAAATGTTTCGCCATAGACAGCTCAAAAATTTAGGATTCACATCAATATACTTAAGTGATTGAAAGTAAAAAAAAAAGTAAAGATATCCCTATAACAGGCTGTAGAGGCCCAAAGGGTTATGAGATGTTGACGTGCCCAGATTTTCTAGACAATTGGCTCATAGATGGCAGTAAGGTTGTTAGCCTTACACCCTGGCCGCCCTTTACCCCCAAGAATATTCCTGGTACTAATTTCTGTTGAAGGCCGAGTCAACCCCAGGGCCATAGTTTGGCTGGGAGGATTAGGTAAATTGAAAAAAATCCACCTCATCTCTCATAGACCCATGTGTTTGAGTGGTGTAAGTGCTTCAGAGAGGGCAGCGTGTGCGTGGAGAATGAACCAAATGATCATTGTCCGCGAACATCCGTCACCGAGCCAAACATTGATCGTGCAGACGTGCTTATTTGTGAGAATAGGCTCATCACTATCAAGGAACTTGGAGCAGTGCTATCCATCAGTGTTGGTGGTGTAGAAGACATTGTGAAATACCACCTGCACTATTGCAAGGTGAATGCACGGTGGGTACCACACACTTTGACGGACATGAACAAAATGGTGGTCGTGCAAGCTGCCAGTCGTCTCTTGCAGCAGTTTGAAGATGAAGGTGATGAATTTTTGAAGTCTGTAGTGACCACCGATGAAACGTGGGTGCACTACTTCATTCCCGAGTCCCAGCAGTCTTCACACGAGTGGCAGCATACAAGTTCTCCCAAACCCAAGAAAGCGCGGAGGAGCCATTCAGCAGGAAAAGTGATGGCAACGTTCTTCTGGGACTGGCAGGGGGTTATCCATGTAGACTTTCTGGCAGATGCCAGAACAGTCAATGCAGCTTATTACTCAGAACTCCTGGCAACAAACGTGAAGGAAAAGATCCGATCCAAGCGGAAGACACGTGGAAAGCGGGTAGCCTTCCTTCAAGACAATGCACACCCCCATACAGCCAAAACAACAATGGAAACCTTCTGGAAACTGAAATGGACCTTCTGACACATCCGCCGTACAGTCCCGATTTGGTCCCGAGTGATTTCTACCTGTTCGGAAGGCTCAAATCAGACTTGCAAGGCATGCGGTTTGTGAACAACACCACCATCATCCAGACTGTTTGGGGTGAATACGCCTCCAGCCAGAAGCCTTTTTTGAAAAGGGCATCAGGATGCTTCCAGAACTTTGGAAAAAATGTGTTGACTCTGGAGGGGAGTACGTTGAAGACTGACATGTGCAAGTAAGTGTTTGGCAATTATGTTCCCCCCCCCAGACCCAGTCATATTTGAACCACCTTGTATTATTACAATTGGCAGATCTGGAAAAAGAAAGGCAAGGAGGAGCTTCACAGTTTCTGTTAAAACACCAAAAGGGATAAAGTAGAAAGTTACTTTGAAAGGAACTATAGGAATGGATCTTCTACATGGTTCCATGAGATAAAAATGAACCGTCATGCTGTTGAGTCAATTAACTGTATGAGAGCAGGCCACTCCAGTCTTAAAGCAAGCTTAGATTTAGCATTATGTCCAGTGGCGTAGCATGACTACCGAAAGCAGGGAAGCAACTTTATATACGTGTATATAAATTTTTTCTACATACCCTATAATTTCTATCTTCTATTTAAAAGAAAACAGCTAATAGTTTAATATGTATTGTATATTTAAGCTAATATATTAAAATAACACCTCATTATCAACACAATTTTATAGCCATCAAATGACAGGGTTGTGAACCTGGAATATAATTAATGCTTACTTGTTTATAATTCAGCTCGATTCTTCTGTTTTTCTTGGCAAACAGATCAATAACCTCATCTAGAAAGGTGGGTTTGGACTGCAGTTTGTTTAGGAAGGACTTTTCAATGTTCATCAAAGCCAATGATGACAACCTATCCTGGTTCTGCGAATTTCTTAAGTAGATTTTTAATCTCTTCAGAGCTGAAAATGAGCGTTCATCTGCAGAACTTGTCGCTGGTATTGTTAATACTAGCTCACATAATTTGAAGATTTGCGGGAAAACGCATGATAACTGAAGAGCATACATATATTGATGTAAGTCATACACACTATCTTTTGCCATATCTGGGTCCGAAAACATTACTAAAAGTTCACTCTTTAAGGCAACAAAGTCAAAAAATGCACCATAATTTTCTTTTAAACAGGAAAATGCTTTTTCAGGAAATGAGGTTCTATACATGGGAAAGTATCTGGCATCAAGAAGACTCAAGAAGAGGAGCGTAGCGTTCTCCGAAAATCTAACAGAGACATTCTGACACACGACATCAATAATTTCACAGAACAGCCGTTTATAGGAGTTTTTTCTTTCTTCTCCACTCATTGAGTCAATGCGAATTCTTTTGGGTCGAGTTGGGCCATTTGAATCGAAGACATTTTCCATTTCACTCCAAAGGTGGTCAAATCCTCCCCTTAATCTTTGCATGTGATGCTTAAATTCGTCTATTTTGGTATTGCAAAAAGCTATATCAGATCTCTTAGTTTGTAGGATTTTGAAAAGAGCGCCAGAATATGGAAAAATTGAAGAAAATATTTTCAGCATGAAATTGAAATCGAAATCCCTTAGAAGAGAGAGAAGTCCGCGTGCAGAAGAAATTGTTTCTACATCCCATTCTTCTGGTTCCTCTATTATAGACACAAGAAGATTCTCAATTCCTTCTCTGTATTCATGCACAGTTTCAGCAAGTCGGCTATGGTACTGCCATCGAGTAGGTGCGATAGAAGGAAATCTTTTCCTAAGGTGGGAATCCAATGCTTCAGTCCTTTTTGTGGACTTGGCAAAAAAAGTTCTAAAGCCAGAGAGAGTAGCAAAGAAGACCTTAACTTCCTTAATAAAACTAGCAGATTGTGCTAAGACTAAATTTAGTCTATGCGCATAACAATGAACAAAAATGGCGTTTGGGTACTGCTCGCGAATTTTTGCTTGTACTCCTGCATGTTGTGATGCCATAACAGCAGCACCATCATAAGTCTGTGCAATGAGTTTGGGACCACATTCAAAATCATTTAAAATCTCAAGAGCATGGTTAAACAAGGAATTGGCAGAACGGTCAGAGCTCACGTCTGTAAAACGCAGAAACCTTTCTTCAACATTGCCATCAGCTGTCACATATCGAAGAACTGAAGCCAACTGACACTTATTCATCACATCTGAAGTCTCATCAAGAATTAAAGAAACATAATTAGCCTTTGAAATTTCCTTTTTAATTTCCATTGTCATCAATTCAGATACAGAATGTATCAGTTCATTTTGGATGTCAGGAGAAGAACCACGGAAAGCAGTTGAAGACTCTAAATGATTGTGTAAATCAGAATCATAACGTGCCAGCATATTTAAAACCTCAATGTAATTTCCTCTATTAACAGATGCCACGCTTTCATCATGTCCCCGAAATGCTAAACCCTGAGAGCCCAGAAAACAAACTGCTGTAATTAATTGGCCTACAAATTTCCTGTTCTGTTTCACAGCTTCATTGTGTTTTTCAATTGACTGTTTGTATTGGCTGCTTAGAGAAAATTCAATCCTTCTGTTTTTACCAAACAGTGTAATTTCTTTAAGACAAGCAATGTGATTAACTGAATGCCCATGTCTTTTGCCAGATTTGTAAATGTTGTTAATGTCATTGTAACCAGCACTGTTAAACACGTGTTTTTCTTTAGAAAACAAGAGACAAGGCCAACAGAATAATTTGTTTAGTTTATCACACCCACACAACCATGGAATAGCCTCATATAAACTGGTATTGAAATGCCGTGTGCAAGATTTCACTTTTGTATGTAAAGTTAGATTAGGCTTAGGTGCACCTTCTTCTATTATCTTAAGTTTCTCATTATAACTGAGTGAACTGAACGGTGTTTGAAGAAGTTTTTCAATCACACAGTGGTTATCACATGAAAGTGTCATGTTTCTATTTTTAACTTAACAGCAATCACAAAAACACTGGTCATAAAGTTATAATTACGCAAAGCAAAACAAATTCTGTATCGAGAAAAATACAGAATAATAACTAAACTGACTTGTGCATAAATGAGACGCTAACACCTTCTGAAAACTAATACACACGCTTAACTGCCAGGTCACAGACTATTCTACTGCACTCTACTGCGAACTGCAATGCCTTACATC